AGTAGCTTAAAAGCTTGGAAGAACCCATGTAATGACATTCTCACCCTCCAACCAGTCTATTCGATCGTCAAAATTTTTTTTATTTCTGTTATACGTATGAAAATAAGTTTGCAGAATAAAAAAAAATACAAAATAAAAAAGGCTACATTTGATGGGAACACAAAAATATCAGAAAAATATTTTTGCAATGTTACATGCAAACTCTAGGGTTCGATACCAAATTCGAATATGATCCGCAAAGTTCCAACAACTTTAAACAGTAATTCTGAATAGTATCAGTAGTGACAAGTATTATATATGAAAGTTGAAAGGAACAAAGCAGGACATTATGAATTATGCGGCTTCAAATACCGGCCAAAACAAGATTTTCTAAAATTTGATGCATACTCGATATATCGAGGCCAAATTCAAATATGTTGCTTTAAAGAGAAAATGTTCTAAAACATCTTAAAAACGTACTATTTTTTGAAGCTTCCACTTATTGCGTCATGCATAAAAATAATCTATGAAAAAGGGACAGATTATTTATGATTCAATCACAGTATTGTAGAAATCTGAATTTTCGGAATTTCATTACAGTTTTCCGTATTTGCCTAACTTCATGTTGCAAGTGTACAGTCATTTTCTTTTTGTCATTTCGATTTGTTACATTAAAACCTAATGCCAGGTGGCATTTTATTAGTTTCGTGCATGGCCCTAACGTAAATTTCACTATCGCAAATTAACAGAATAGGCCTGTCCTATATATAGAAATTCACAATATCTTAAAACCTAAAGGTTGTGAGCCATAGTTCTGAAAAGCTGATAATCACTTTTAACCCGGATGGCAATGACAGCTGATAACTCCCTTTGACTTCGTATTGACTTCGCATGTATCCTTAGTCATCTATATTCTACACCATCCTTGGCCCTGTGATGTTATGAAAAATGTGTCACTCGACCATGTTTATCAACAGGGTGATAAAATTGTAAACAAGAACGTAGAATAAAACGTGAATTACAATGTAATGCCGATAATTGACTTGTTCACGACTTATGCGCTTGTAAAATCTGTAAATGTAATTGTGACTTTCACGGTAAAGATTGTAGATATACTAATGGTTGTGGTATTGTTTTGTTGGAAAATAATACAAGAAAACCATAAAAGTAATATTAATGAGTTATATTAGTTCTTTTTAATTTTCGTTCCGCTGATGATCATACTTTGGTGTTAGACACTCCATTTATACATGTCTAAGAAACCATTCTCCAAAGTTGTCGACAAATAGAGAACATATTCGCACTCGACCTTGATTCATGGATTTTGCACCAAATATTGCAAAATCTGATTTTTAGCCCATATTTGATAAAGTCCCACCTCGTTCCCGTCCACAATTATATCCAATACTTATCACTACCTATACTGTTCGGAATCGCTGTCAAAAGTTGCAGATCATACTCGAATTCGGCATCAATAATGGAGTTTGCACCACATATAAGAAAATCTGATTTTTCATCAATTTTTGAAAGTTAATATTTATTTAAATTTGTTTCCGATACGCGGTATTATTACGTATACCAAAATCTATCTTTATGTCAGCTTTAAACCTATTTTTTCAGATCCTCGAAATTTAAGCTAAACCTTTTAGTAAATTACATGCCACCATGTTCACTGTAACAGTTTTAATGTAACAAATGAAATGAAAAGATGAACTGCCTTTACACATAAAATTAGTGAAATCAATCAAACACGCAAAACGACAATAGAATCACAAACATTCACAAAACTGTGATTGAATCCTAAAGAATCAGTCGCTTCTTCGTAATTGTGATTATTTTTGTGCATGACGCAAAAGGTCTAAGCTTCAAAGAATAGTACATTCTTAAGATATTTTAGAACATTTGCTCTTTTACTGTCAAATAATCTTCGTATGTCGGAGTCTTCCACAAAAATATCCTTATCATAAGTTACTTGCTGTATTCCTTTTGATAAAATGGTGTTTTTGAAGTAGCGAATTTTCTGCTGTCTGCAGCAGCATGGAGAGAAATACACAAGCCAGTTGAATTGGAAATTTTCGCCGAAAATATTAGTACAATTAAGATTTTTATTAATCATTGATCATACTTTGGTGTTAGACACTTGACGTGTACATGTGATCGAAATCGTTGTCAAAAGTTGTCGGCAAATAAAGCAACATATTCGAATTCGGCCTCGATATATCGAGTTCGCATTAAATTTCAAAAAATCTTGTTTTTGTCCAATATTTGAAGCCCCATAAATCATAAAGTCCCGCCTTGTTCCTTCAACTTTTATATATAATACTTTTCACTATTATTGCTATTCAAAATTACTGTTAAAAGTTGTCGGCACTTTGCGGATCATATTCGTATTCGGCATCAGATCATTGAGTTTGCACGAAATATAGCAAATTCTGATTTTTCGTTAATTTTTGAAGGTCCATATTTCGTTAAGTTTTGTTCTTCTGATGATCATAATTTGGTGTTAGACAAATGATTTGTACATGTGATCGAAATCGTTGTCAAAAGTTGTCGGCAAATAAAGCAATATATTCGAATTCGGCCTCGATATAACGAGTTCGCATTAAATTTCAAAAAATCTTGTTTTTACCAAGTATTTGAAGCCCCATAAACCATGAAGTCCCGCCTTGTTCCTTCAACTTTTATATATAATACTTGTCACTATTATTGCTATTCGAAATTACTGTTAAAAGTTGTCGACACTTTGCGGATCATATTCGAATTCGGCATCGAATCATTGAGTTTGCACGAAATATAGCAAATTCTGATTTTTCGTCAATTTTTGAAGATCCATATTTAGTTAAGTTTTGTTCTTCTGATGATCATACTTTGGTGTTAGACACTTGACTTGTACATGTGATCGAAATCGTTCTCAAAAGTTGTCGGCAAATAAAGCAACATATTCGAATTCGGCCTCGATATATCGAGTTCGCATTAAATTTCAAAAAATCTTGTTTTTGTCCAATATTTGAAGCCCCATAAATCATAAAGTCCCGCCTTGTTCCTTCAACTTTTATATATAATACTTGTCACTATTATTGCTATTCAAAATTACTGTTAAAAGTTGTCGACACTTTGCGGATCATATTCGAATTCGGCATCGAATCCTTGAGTTCGCACGAAATATAGAAATCTTTTTTTTCATCAATTTCTGATGATCCATAGTGTGTTGAGTTTTGTTCTGCTGATGATCATACTTTGGTGTTAGACACTTGACGTGTACTTGTATTTGAAATCGTTGTCAAAAGTTGCAGGCAGTTAAGCCGTTATTTCAAAATATCAGTCAGCTGTGGGCTCGGTGATGTTCGCCTGGTATCTCTTTACAATTGATAATTACACGAAAGCAGAATCTGACTTATTTAAACATGAATGAGTAACTTCTTAGTATATGTTTTTTTAAATTTTAATATCATATTAGGTAGAAAAAACGAACATTTATAGTTTCTAAGCGGATTCTAAAAGCATCCTATGTCGCGATTCGTTCTGCTAATTCTGTTCCGCATTTGTATTAGAAGGGTCATGACGAGTAAAACAACATAAAAATTGAAAGTCGCTATATGAATCGAATCATTGAGTTCGCAAGAAATATAGCAAAATCAGATTTTTCGTCAATTTTTGAGAGTTCATACTTTGTTAAGTTTTGTTCTCTTGATGATCATAATTTGGTGTTAGACACTTGATTTATAAATGATCGAAATCGATGTCAAAAGTTGTCGGCAATCAAAGCAACATATTCAAATTTGGCCTCGATATATCAAGTTCGCAATAAATTTCAGAAAATATTGTTCTTGGCCAGTATTTGAAGCCCCATAAACCATAAAGTCCCGCCTTGTTCCTTCAACTTTTATATATAATACTTGTCACTATTATTGCTATTCAAAATTACTGTTAAAAGTTGTCGGCACTTTGCGGATCATATTCGAATTCGGCATCGAATCATTAAGTTCGCACGAAATACAGCAAAATTTGATTTTTCGTCAAATTTTGAAGGTCCATATTTCGTTAAGTTTTGTTTTGCTGATAATCAAACTTTTGTGTTAGACACGTGATTTGTACATGTGATCGAAATCGTTGTCGGAAATTGAAGCAACATATTCGAATTCGGCATCGATATATCGAGTTCGCATCAAATTTTTGAAAATTTTTGTTTTTGGCCGGTATTTGAAGTCCCAAAAATCATAAAGTCCCGCTTTGTTCGCTTCAACTTTTATATATAATACTTGTCTCTGTTACTATTCAAAATTACTGTTAAAAGTTGTCGGCACTTTGCGGATCATATTCGAATTTGGCATCGAATCATTGAGTTCGCACGAAATATAGAAATCTTTTTTTCATCAATTTCTGATGGTCCATAGTGTGTTGAGTTTTGTTCTGCTGATGATCATACTTTGGTGTTAGACACTAGACGTGTACTTGATATTGAAATCGTTGTCAAAAGTTGTGGGCAGTTAAAGCAACATATTCGAATTCGGACCCGATATATCGAGTATGCATCAATTTTAGAAATTTTTGTTTTTGGCCGGTATTTGAAGCCCCATAATTCATAATGTCCTGCTTTGTTCCTTTCAACTTTCATATATAATACTTGTCGCTATTGATACTATTCAGAATTACTGTTTAAAGTTGTTGGAACTTTGCGGATCATATTCGAATTTGATCTCGAACCCTAGATTTGCATGTTTTTTTCGATATATTTGTGTTCCCATCAAATGTATCCTTTTTCAATTTGTATTTTTTTTCATTATTCTGCAAACATATTCTTATACGTTTTAGTTTTTCTGTTTTATGTGATATACAGTACCAGCTGAATGTGCTTAAACTTGTATTTTGATCCGAGTTGTTTCCTTCGGAACATATTTTTCCGAATAGGATCCATTTATTCCTTAAAAATATTGTAATAATAGATTATTTTCCGTATGGGAACCGGTTGAAAGTTTTTCTGCTGAAATTCTGCTGGAATCACAGTGGTGGCTGAGTTGAGGTTGAATTCATATTTATCCCGTGAGGGAAAGCCGATAACTTGGCAAATTTTATTTTTTAATAAAATAGTTTTGTTGTCGCAGTTAGGGATACGAGAGTATGGAAACAAGTGGCAGTATAGTGGTAAGGTGCTTTGGTGCCGGAGACGTCGTGTAAAGAGGTACCGGTACAAGCCTAAGGACCTAACCTGACGTTACGGTACGGTACCGGTAACAGGTAAAAAATAATAAAATTCAATTGGCGATTGGAAATAATCCACAAAATGATTAAATGTGGCAATAACTATTATTCCTAATTAGACAAAATATGTACATAAAGAAACTAGTATATATTAGAAAAATTTAGCCCATCATTGAAAACATGAATGAAGTAAACACTGTACGGTACCGGTAGTACCGTATCCCCAAGCAAACAGCATATGGAAAATACATCAATTTAGTTGTTGCAATATCATTAAAATTTTGAAATTGGAAGGTATACTGGCACTTTACAAAGACACAAAATATAGCTAAATATTTGTACACAATCTGAGACCAAATTATGGTTCATGGGTGAAGTGACTCACCGGTATATGGTTTGGATCCAAGTTAACCCGTTTGAGCCTGATGTTGGCAAGATGAATAGTTTGGTTATTGTATGAGCGGCACATGGCTATGCACTGACATGGTGGGGGAAATAACAAGTTCAATATTTACAGAGTTTCTATCTATTTCAGTTACTGTGGACTGTGGATGAAGTCAAGTGTTGAGCTGACAATGACAAGGGGTTGAGGGTGTCAGCACATCAAACAGATGTGGTGATCGGAGACAGGTAAGATGAAAGCATGACCTTCTTATATTTTATTTTAAAAGAGACATATGTGCTTTCTGTAAACTTTGTGAAATATTATTCCATATTATGACGCCTTTGTATTTCAGGGAATTTTAAGATTTGCTCAGTGAAAAGCGAGGTACAAAAAAATTGGACTTGGTTGAAGAGCGAGTGTTGTGTTCATGCACAGAGGTAAGCGAAACAAAATAATTGTCGAAAGCTGTGGGCAAGTGGTTGTTTTGAAATTGGTGCATAACTTTGAAGATCTCTAGAGTGTGAATGTCAGATAGTTTTAACACCTTTGTTTTATGGTATAGGGTGTTTAGGTTTGTACGAATAGATGCTCTGTAGAGGGTTCTAACAGCTTTATTCTGTAAGATCTCCAATTTATGAATGTTAGTTGCTGAGCCCCAAGCGGTTATGGCATATTGTATGTGGGATTGAATGAGAGCAAAGTAAGCAGTTCGCAGGGTGGCATCCTACACATAATGCCTGAGTTTTCCCAATTTTCCAACCGATCTCGACAATTTCTTATGTAATTCGATAGTATGGGTGTTCCATTTTAAATTATTATCTATATGGAGCCCGAGATATTTATAGGATTGGACAACTTCCAAGGCAACCCCCTTGATTTTCGGCTGAAAACCATGACTTTAGATTTTTCGACATTTACAGTAAGTTTGTTGCATAACATCCACTCATATATTTTTTTTATTTCTGAGTTTACAGTGTGTTGGAGTGTGGTCAAGTCTTTTCCACTAGCAAGCAGGCAGGCATCATCGGCGAAGAGCTTGGTTAGAAGATTTGAGCAGTTTGACAAGTCATTTAACCCTAACCCTGGACAATTTCGCACTGAATGGGCAACATTGGGGACTTTTGAGAACCTAATTCAACAAATCGAAAACAACCACTCAGGTAATTAGCTAGTAGTTTGCTTACATTACCCTGAAACCATAGTGTTGCAACTTTTGGATAAGAAATTTGTGGTCCACCGTGTCGAAGGCTTTCCTTTAGGTCAAGGAAAGCACAGCAGGTTAGGGTTAGGCCATAAGTTTATTCCAATTTTCCTTATTTTAGTTCTATTACGGGTTCGGGTACTGGCCAAGTGACTCCCTAACCCGAGGGTTAGGCCATAATTTGCCTTATTTTAGTTCTACTATGAGTTCGGGGACTAGCATAGCGACTATCTTAGTATTTGTCCCTTAAATTATGGCCTAATCCCAACCTGGTACACATACTACGTTCCGGTGTTTGCCATCTTGGTTCACATGCTTTTGGAGTACCGGTACCTACATGGGGGCCCCTGGGTGATTCTGAGGGTGACATAAGTCTTCGCTAAGTGCCATTCGTGAGGGGTTAATTTGAAGCAAATTGATTGACTGTTTAAATGCATCGTTTGTTGGATCAACGACTTTTATTCCTTTCGGAATATGAGGGACCACCTATGCCCTCTCTTCTGGCCTGATTTAAACAATGTTTTGGACGCGTGCATTAGGCTACATCGGTCCTATTCAACATTGTGCCATTTAGTACAATAGATGTTTGTTTTATATTAGCTGTTATGTTGGTTATTTGTAAATAAACTGTTTTTATCTATAGTTTTATAGCATCCGGCCTAGTAAGCAAGTCTATTATCTGAAACCAACCCACTCAGGGAAGTAATTGCCCACCCATGGCTTAAATGCATTTCTTTGTTTGTATCTCCCGAAATGCGAGGAACCACCTGGTACAAATAACTAATTCCACACCTGATGAAAATCATATTCTATGATTAAGTCATCCAATCAAATGTTCTTCAAACATGCAAATGTCATCAAGAGCGAAGACATAACAATATTTCTGCCATGCATGATGGTAGACACTGTTTTGTTTTGGCTGGGAGAGACGTACTTTCTAAATGTTGCACTTTGAATCATCGATAATTTATTCCTATGGAGACAGAATATCTGTCATTGATCCAACACTTCCGATATATCAATCAGGTCAGATGACAATACTAGAAAATCCGCTGAGTGCATCAATTTAGCAATGTCATATACAGGATCTGAACTGGTAAGAGATACTGTGGCATATGGTTGAGCCAGCTCCCTCTTTTCCGGGATAAAAAAGAGGAACTCCCGAAGTATGTGAACAAGATGGCGGACACCAGAACGAAATATCGTATATGTTCGCGAATAGGCCGAGTTTAAAACTCAAAAAAAAAGTTGCCAAACTAAGGGACCGTCTTATTCGCGCATAACTCAGATTGCACCAAAAATCAGCTCATTCGCGCATCAGAATTTGATCACGCAACGAGATGATATTATGCTGACCTATGACATTTACATCATAGTTTTGAGTCCCACTTCCATGAAACTGATCCAGACCAATGTTTTATGGCAGTGGTCACACTTACAAACATCAGTGGGTATGGCCATAACCACAGTGATTTCGAACAGCTTTCCAGCTCTTGTGGAATCCCCCATATTTTTAACTTTCAATTTCATATTAGAAACTAGATATTGCCTAATAAGAACAGTTTCATCGAATCTCCGCAACTTTCCTTTTTAGTGGAATTGTGTGCACGGCCAAAGAAGTGTTGATTCTGACATTTCTAATTGCCAAGTTAGACTGTAACAGCTAACATAAAACATGGGTATTTAAAGAGTTTTAAACTACGGAAAATTGCCATGCATGACCTGAAAAATGCTTTTTTTTGCTCATTTCGAAAGAGGAATTCCAGCCTTCAAACCCCATTCTGGGTACGCCCAGACCTTTGTTCTCGTATCTGATTGATTTTACTGAAAAACTGCTCTTGGACTGGACTAGTTTAAATAAAACATTTCTTTTATTTTGAGTGCGTTAACATGAATCCACGCAAGATCAAAGAAGAAGCTGGAAAAGGATCTGTGATTGAACTTTGATGAATTACATTTGACTAAGGTGAGAAAGCAAGATGTATATGAACCAAGATGGCAGACACCAGAGCGTAGTATGTGTACCAGGTTATAATTGCCAAGTTAGAACGCAACAGCCAACAGGTTCAGACCGGGGCCCAGTAATCGTGGGTTTTCGAGATCCTTTAGACTGAGAATTTCAAGCTCCTAATGTATGATATAGTCCAGGAGTCGTCGAACTGCGGCCCACGGGCCAAATGCGGCCAGCTTTATTTTAAATGCATTACAATCCAATAAATTTCGTACTCGCTTGTCAGGTAGTCATTTGGACGATGTACCGCAGGCAAGTATGTCATAAAAACATCATCTAAAGTAAATAAAAACAATGTTTTCTCGTATGATATATTGAAAATACCACACACTTTTAACGTAGCAATAGAAAGTACGAATGCGCCATAATTTGAAGTTCAATGTGGCGATTGTCGAAGTCGGAAATGTGTATATTTGGCCCGCGAGTACATAAAGTTTGTCGACCACTGATATAGTCCCACCATCAATAAGCCACGGTGGACACTCTTAACTGCCATGCCACCACTGCCACAAAAGCAATGTCTATAGGTAACACCTCTCAAACAACCAGTCTTTGACCAAAAATTATCAATTTTTTCAGCAGAAATTGATCTGATGAGCCCAGCTCCTCGACGCTCACATAAGAATCTACTTGGACCAGAAATCGTAAAAAGTTTGACAATACGGCACGAGAGAACACAACCGACTGACGTCATCCAAAAATTGATCAAAATTGTTTATTATGGCGATACAGTTCTTTTCATATATATTCAAAACTATAAAAGTGATTTTGTAAACGTAAAATGGGGCTAATGATCCAAAATAAAGAATTACCTTTGGTGTGGTCTGATTCCAATACGAAAGATTCGGATTCGGACCGGGGCCCACCAGTTGAGTAGCCCTGGTATATTCTTATTGCAGTAGTAAAGAAACCGGACTTATATTCGCGATTATGTGATAAAATAAACTACTGACTGACTGACATACAGTTAGACTACCTGCCAAAACGAGCATTAACTCTACATTTATCAAACAAACGAACATTCGCATAATCTAAGTATCAGTTCGGCAAGTGAATTGCTTATTTTATTCAGCTTTTTTACATCCAAGTTGTGTAAAGGGATTGAAACCTATGGGCAGGGAAATATTCACTTGGCTAACACAGACAGTCCCCGAACTCTTAATAGAACTAAAATAAGGAAAATCAGAATAAAATTAAATTGGTACACATACTACCAGAGTACCCAATTGGAAAACTTGCTAAAAACGCATTTATCTTGCTTTAAATTGTATGTACCTTAAATGTATACTGTTGCCAACCTATCGAGATTGTGAAATCTAGAAGCGTGATTATATTGTGTCCGTTTTAATAAATCCACCCCTATAAGTGGTGATATTCATAAAGTAGCTTGTATGTCGGTGAAGATGATCAGTCAAATACATAAAACATTTTTATAAATTACAAATAGTTTCAAATATTTACCATCCTCTTAATTTAAAAACACCGAAATACAAAAACTGGGGGCATAGTGCGTGTCGCTTTCAAGTTATTCTCGTTGAACTGAGTGTCACTTATTCTAATTCGGAAATAGATTACAAAAGTTGGGAGAGAAATCACTGTTTAAATAAATGTAGCGCCAATGGCAGCCAACAACATGAACCCCAGAGATCTGCTTTCCAGTGATTATTTGTAGAGTTACGGGCGCGGCTACATAAAGTGAGAATGATTGAAATCTTAACTTCCGGCAATTTTTTTTGTTATGGCTGATTGGCTATGATACATATTCGTGAAAACAGTAAAATTGGGGTCTAGTTCTGAAAAAAGGTGGTCTATTCTAAACATTTTGGTCTCTTTATTTATATTCACATCAACAATCATCCTCTTTGCTGATTTTTACGATTACATTTATATGAAATGTTTTGTCATTGTTTTTTTTTTATACCCTGGTACGGTTTACGTACGTACACAACTTTAAAAAATTTTTTTAATCATTTTACGACGCGCACCTTGGTATATCTATCTCTATCGTCTATCTACTTTTACGACACACTCACAGTTACGAACGTATATATATATATATGCTTAACACAGTATTTTACGACGCACTTTATACAAGGCACAGTTGGGAACATACATATATATATACATTTTTAGCACACACACATATATACATTTATATCACAGTATTTACAACACATATTATACAAGGTAAAGCTCAGTTTCGAACACAAGATATACAGTTTACAATCCTGACACTCAATCCATTACTCTATCGCTACCTGCCTACCATCAGCGTCTGAATAATCGCTTTTGTGTCTCAATTTTTATCGGATGCTGCTTTATTTTTTTTTATAATTAGCTACCAGGACTGGATTACTTGTGCTAGAAGTAAAGCCCAATCCTTCGTTCACCGCTCTGGCGTAGTTGGTAAAGCAGTCGGTCTTAACACTGTCTCTCTAATCCGATGGCCATGGGTTCCAATCCGCCCAGACTTACCTTTTTAAGTAATTAAAACAAATGGAGCAAATAAGTTAATAAGTGAAAATTAGAAGTACATCTTGCGTCACTCACTGTGGTGTAGTGGGCATGCCCATGGTGCGTTGATCCAGAAACATGGGTTCGACACCAGCTTATCGGACTGTCAACTTCGTACTTTTATTAGTAAAGATTAAAATTGAAGAAAAAATAAAATAGTAGTGTTAAACTCATATTAAGAGTGTAAACGGGGGGACTTACCTCAGGGGGGTAGGCGTCTGTGATGTACGCTCCGAACCAAAGTTCGAGTCCCGAGGAGGTTGTAAACGGTGAAAGTTCGAGAGGTGGGGCGGCGCCGTAGGCGCCGCGTTAAAACACTAGGAATGAGCCTCCCGATGCTGCGGCGCCGCATAAATACACTTGGAATGAGCACTAACGTACAAAGAAGACTCTACCTTTTACTGAAATTTTCCATTTTTGATGATTTTTTTTTCCAAAGGGGTTTGGACTTAGTATATTTTTGACTCTTTCCCACTTATTTATTATAGATAGACACTTGTTTTTTTCTTCTCATTTTTATTGCCGTGTGATTCGTGTACAACAAGTTTACACTCATACATACATACATCAACAAGGAAAACTACGAGGAACTTTACCAGTTACAAAAATAAATGAAGACACATCAATAACGGAAACCAGATTACCAAAACATTGTAAAATAAACACTGAAGTATTTAAAAACTGCTAATAAATCAGACTTGGTCGCATAGAGTAAATAACTTACGAAACAAAAATATATGAAAAGACATATAGCGCAATTTATCACAGTTTTGGGGTCGGGACTTTTACATATGGGCGATCGGGCCTCGTTTTGAGTGAAGGGATGGAAATAACTTGCAAAATTTAAACGTTAACTTATAACGGGACAAAATATATATAAATATTTAAAGACATATCGTAGTACGATTGATCACGGTTTTGGGGCCAGGGCTTTTACATATGCGCGACTGAGCCTTGTTCTGAGTGAAGGGATGGAAATAACTTGCAACGAAATAACGTTAACATGTAACTGACGGGACAAAATATAAAACATAAACCTATTGGGCTCGAATTTAACGCAAATTTTGTGGGCAATGCCGAAAATGCATAATGAGGGAAGAATACTGCATATGACATATAAAATTATATAAAAATGCAAAAACATAAAATAATATTTATCACTGTTGGGATCAAGTTTAGCACAATCTTGGTGGGCAATGCATGCCGTTTCGGCGAATATGCATAATGAGAGAATACTGCTTATGACATATAATAAAATGCAAATGAGTAACGGAATAAAATTATACAGAACATAAAATTGCCATTGATTACTGTTTCTGGGCCCGTTTGTCTGGGACTTGGCGCAAATTAGGTTGGCAATGCCGTTTTGGCGAATATGTGAAAATGCATATTCAGGGGATATTGCTCATTAAGACATATGAAAATAAAGAATGTTAAATAAATAGCAGATAAATAACGGAACAATATTATATGAAAACGCAAAAGATTACTGTTTCAGGGCCTGTTGGACTCGAATTTAGCAAATAAGGTGAGCAACTTGTTCAGTTTGGGTATGTCATGCTTGTCTGGGATTTTGTTGGGAGCAAACGCAAAAAAAGCTCAAGAAATTTTCTTGTTGCAGCTACGCGCTAGATCTTCTACGAGTATGCGAAAATGCGCACCCCCAGTTAAATTTGGCGCAATACCGAACTAGAAACCCAGGGCTTAGGGCTTTTGTATTTCTCGAGCCTAGTTTAGAAGAGAAGGCATGAAATACATACAAAAGACAGACTGAACGACGAACAACTAAAGACAAAAATATGTACCTAAAAACATCACGAACATTTATTAATCAGTTTTTTTGGCGTTTGGAAGAAACATTGCCGTGCCGGGATTTTACATTTCAATGCTTGTTTGGAACGAAAGAACGGAAAATGTGGTGGCATAACGGCGAATAGACTCAGGAATTTTGTTTGAGAGTGGGCTTGGTAGTTACTGGAAAGCTCTTACGTACCAGTGACGGCTTGTCTTCAGTTATGCTCATAGCAAAAACAGTATGTTCCCCAGCTTTTTATTTTAGGAAGGTGTTTATAAAATTAAAGAGGTGGGTGATTGGGCGGGACGTTTAAATAACAAGACTTAAATTCAAACTTCAAATAAAACGTGAAGATGAAAAATATTATCAATTTGATAAAATCTTTGCAAATTGGACATAAATCACTATTTCGCGGGAATGCAGTGGCGTGTCTTGGGTGTGGCAACCATGGCTAGTGACAGGGACAAAAAACTGTGGAAAATATCAATCCTATAAAGTTTCAATAAAATAAATTCAAATTGGGAATAACTGAAACTCGTATTTTACTCAAATAATACGTACAGGTATCTCAATTCAATAATAGTCGTTATAAATTGTCAAACAAATATCAAGGGGGCGCATTTTAGACTTTGTCATGGGCGCCATTCTACATAGATATGACACTTCGTGCGAGGATTTTTATGGCAGATTGGACGTCAATTCAGAACTGGAAAAAACGGGATATCCACCCCCCAAACGTGGAAATTGTGAGAACCTGGTATCACGGAATTTATGAAAACCCCAAAATGATTGGTCTAGTGCTGACATGGGCAAACTACAGCTCCCAAATCAATCTGGGCCGCGACAACCAAAATAAAACCAAATTTTGATGTTTTAGATGGAAATAATTCAATTGCGATTAAATTAAATTTTGACACGAGGCTCATTGTTTTTCACCTTTTTGAATATTTTTCATAATATGTAACTTCACACTAACATGGCCCGCCAATCCAAGTGGGCAATTTTTTTGACCTTTGATCGAAAAATCTAGACCACACCTTATCTAGTGGTGTTGGCCTCTGCGTAATAGGGGCAGCTTGTATGAGTACTGACAACAGAATATGAAATTCAAACGATAAATAAAAAGACATTAACATTATAACAAACGGGAGAAGAAAATTAAAAATGTAATAGTGGCAAATCATCTGAAGAACGAGCGTCTTTGTTTTGTTTGTTCAGGAAACCTGAAAAAGAAAGAATACTGTAAGTCTTCACTTCATGAAATTCAGAATCAATGTTTGAACAAGTAATGGTTAGGGATGGACATTTTCGAATACCTGATGATTTCAAAATCGAATCTCGAATAATTGGGAAAATTGGTAACTTTCTTATTGTATCAGGTCCCCCATACACACAAATTACTGAAAACCTAGTATACATCACTCAGGCAGATTGCTGAGCCTGCACACACAATGTCACGTGTCACCTGCACAACAACACGTTTTGTCAATAACAAATTACTGCTATCTCAGACTACAAATATATCATTCTCAAGCTTTAGAGACATTCGATTTCGGACTATTATTTATTTTTTAATCTGAGGGCTTGTTCTAGATTTTACCGGTTAAAATATTTTTAAACTGATGCCTGTTGGGAAATTCAATAAAGTAACATTTTACGTCACACCTGCATGGCCCACCCCTTCCTTAGCCTGTATTTTTAAATATTGAAGATAATAAAATATCGCTATATAGTTATTAAGTCCGAAATACCTAATTGTCAAGTTACACCGTAACAGCGTCTTGAGGTGCTATTAGGCGTTCCAAGCTACGAAAAAAGATACTCGTGTAGTATGTGCCCTAACCTGGTACACATACTACGTTCCGATGTCCACCATCTTGGTTCGCATAGTTCAGGAGTACCCTTTTTGTCAATTTGCTAAATATCAAGGAAAATTTAATCTTATTTTCAACTCACCTTTAGATATCTAGTTTCGTTCTTGAAGTGTTTCATATTCACTGCATTCGCCTACATAAAAAAAAAAAATACATGTCATATATACGTTTGGGTGCAGTATGCTCCCAGCTTTCTGTCTCGATAGGGGGGAAGGGGGCATTTTCACATTTAGGTGGTGGTAGATGTATTAGGGATAAAACTATTTGTAACTTATAAAAATGTATCTGACTGATCATCTTCGCCGGTATATGAATCACTTTCTAAATATTCAAATACAATTTTATTTACTTATGAATTGAAGTATGGTGTCACACCTGAGAATTAGGGGGTGTAGGGAAATCACTGAATATGTTGCTACTCCCCAACGATCGGTATCTGCCGAAGAGCAGTGTTCTAATCTCAGAGTCGCGAGTGGAGTCGTCAACCTCTGAGTCTGATTGGCTGAAAAAAAGGTCACATGTCTGGAAATGTTTTGTCGTCTTCTGTATGACATTTACCTCACACGGAGGCGGCTCCGTTTTGCGCGAAATCTCGCCTTTTATTTACGTCGTGGAAAAGTAATTTCAGTGTATTTTGAAAGTGATTTTCAGTTTTATCCAAATTGAGTTTTTCGAAATATCGTCTGGTTTCTTCGATTGGTAGTGTAATTATACGTTTTCGGAATCGAAAAGCCCTCTAACAACATATGTTTTAGGTTCATGTAAGATAATTTTCCTACTCTTTGTGAACTTTGTGTTTCCACGGTTGCAAATTTTAAAAAATTGTAAATTTTGATAAATATTACTGAGAATGTATAAAGACAGACCCGATGACGACCCACAGCCCGTCGATCGACGTATAGTAAAGAGAACAGTTTCTACGTAGGTTTGTAAAACATGTGGATTGCAAAGAAAGACCGTACCACGGGGCGAACATAATTATCAATTTTGGCAACGATAAATAGCCAAATGGTGGTCAGTCGAATACATAACAAATTTATTTTCTTTCAACTAGTTTTATCACTAATGCCAAGATATTTTTCCCCTTATACTGAATTTATAAATTTGCCTTCCCCATAAAAAACGGGAAGCAACTCTACAACCAAATCCCAACACATTCCCCTCTGAAGATATTTGTAAATCCCTTTTTACACAAATATACCATAACCAAGCGCACTCCAACTCAACCCGTCACACTTTCACCAAAAGAAAACACAAAAATGACCATCAGCAACAATATATTTCCACACATAATAAGAAAAAGTGAAATAATGTTGGCACGGAGGTATGGCTCATCATACTAAGCGCTGGTTATGTGCAACAGGATTGCTGGTCTCCTCGCGCCGTACGGTGGTTCACGTAACCGCTGGTCGGTCTATCTAATCCGACTATCTAACTATCTAATCCGATACCCGACATTGAATGATAATCGGAAGAGAGGCCGTGGTTCGCCATATGATTGAGCTGTCTTATCGACTCCCCCAGGGTAAATATTCGAAATCCTATATTGTTCCTAATATTATCTTGTTTGTGCGTGGCCTCAAAAAGTTCTTTCGCTTAAGTAAGCGAAGATAGAGGGGAGGGGGGAGATATGGGGGTCATGTCCCCTCAGGACCTTCAGTAAGAGTTTTCAACGATAGGACATTACTGCAATCCAGCCAGAAAGGGATCATATTCCAGAATCATATTTTAAAATGATGGCTTCAACAAAAAAATTAGGAATTAACACGATCTTCGGGTAAAAAAAAACAAGCGGTGATTAGAAGTTTTCGTTCAAATGGGCTTGAATATTTTTTAGTTTTCTATTATTGAACACGTTTAGTGGACATAACGATCGTTTGAAAATTTTGTTGTTATTGTTATTTGTCTCCATCATCTTTAAAAAATCGCTTTTCTCTTCGAATACTGGACCAATTGCTTTGAAATTTTCAGTGGTTAAAGATAAAATTTTTCTCCAGAAGGGTATTATTTTTTTTTTTGCTATGACATTATAAAAATTATTGCCATTGGGTGGCGCTACGTGTCCATATATTTGAGCATAGCTCTCTTGTTACTATAATACTGATTTATGCTACCGTTGTATACGTAACAGGGCATTTTCCCTTAGGATAATTTGCTTTGCTTTGGTTTGTACACTTTTGAAGCGTCGATTTATGAGCATATCACTAGGTGAGGATCTAACAAAGGTTGAAGAAGTGCAAACACTGAGTTTCAAAATTGCAAAGGGTGAGATTCAATGGAAAATTTCAGAAAACATTGAGCTGAGAACTTCCTGAAACCTTCTAGAAATATAGAGAAGAATTGCTATTATTTGGTATAGTTTGGGTCTTAAGACTATGAAAAAATGTGAAAACAATAATTGCAAAAAACCAAACAAATTAAAAGTGAAAAAGTAAATCTGTGGTGAAACACACAAACCTGTAACTCAGTGGTCGGCAAACTGTGGGCCGCCTAGCATTTTTAATAAATTTCAATTATCGCAGTGATATACAAAATAGTTCAATAAATCCAACATATCAATTATTGCCGAATGGTTTGTTCATATATCGAACAATTGTACTTTTCATTAATTTCAACAAACCAAATTAATTGCCCCTTAACAAGTTTATAGAATGGTTAAATTTAAATATTTTGGCAAAATCTTGACAGAGGCATGCTAGTCTGACTTTAATGCGATGGTTGTTTTAGATTGAAACCTGTTTTATTTCACTATTTGGGTCTCACTAAAAACAAAATAAATATTCGAACACAGGTGCTCCAGAAGTAAGTTAACCAAGATAGCGGACACCGGAACGTAGTATGTGTACCAGGATAGGGTTAGGCCATAATTTCAGGTACAAATACTACGGGAGTCACTTGGAAAAGAACTAAAATAGGGAAAATTGGAACACATACTACGTTCCGGTGTGCCATCTTGGTTCACATACTTCGGGAGCACCAAAAATTGAATGTGAATACACCCATAGAATGAAAAACCAAAGCAATAAACCGCCGTGATGAATTACAATTCCACAACCAAAACAATCAATTGGTGCCGCATCCAGGTAATCCAGGGGTGTCAGGAGATTCCAAAGGGGATGGGGTCTGAAATTTCCAATTGCAGAGTTAAACTAGCGGGCTTGCCAGGAGCATGAAAACATAGGTTTCCAAGATTATTTAGGGTCTAAGACCAGGTTGGGCAATTATGTACTGAGTGGGCCAGTCACAAATAACAATTTGGAACTACAGCTTATTTACAACAGGTAGGCTAACGTTTATATAATAATAAGAAGCACAAAGTAACAATCGCGGTCATTATGACATTATTTTAATCAATCTTTTCAACAGAATTTCATTATCCATCAAACTATAATCATAATTTCCACAGACACAAGTGGGCCGGATCCGACTCGCGGGCCATAATTTGCCCGCCCCTGGTCTAGGGAGTGTTTCAAGCTTTGAAAAATTGTCATGTATGATACAAAGAAATGTTTTCTTTTTCACATTTTAAAAGGGGGTCCCGATCCCCAGAACACCCTGGCTGCGGCCCTGTGCAAATCGCTAGGATCACAGTTGATTACCCTACATGGGTTAGCTGTATCAAATGTGGGGAAAACTTTGTGCAGAGGATTGAAAAAATTGAAAAAATCAAAAAATATAAATGTAAACACTGAACTTAATATTCTTTCACTTTTCTGGTATAGTTTCTGTTTCCTCCTGAAAAAGGGGAAGAAATTACATGAATTGCTGGATAAATGATGAATAAAAGAATTTGCTCAAAGCAAAGTAACGCTCACTCACTCAGAATTAAATGAAACTCACTCAGAAGCAAAATGGGAAAATTTCAACAAACAGGTACAATATTTCACTTAATCAGAACTAGTCAGAAAAATCTTACACTTGCCAGGAAAGACTTATTCTGGCAGGACATGCTTCATTGACTATTTGTTTAGGATACGGTTGGGTCATACAAAAGCTGTGTCACAACACACACTGGGCGTCAATGCTACAAGAGTTCAAGCGACTTATGCAACCAATCAATCATGTCTTAATTTATGGTAAGAGTGACCTCTAGTGACCATAACTCCTGGTTAGAGCTAAACATTTCCAAATATAATGATGATCAGAATCGAATCGAATATTTTATTCGATTCTCGAATACTTGGGAGTTAATATTATGCTATTTTTTGTACATACATCACTAAGACCAATTGCTGAGCGTTCACACCCAATAAGACAAAAGTTTTATCAATAACTCAGAATCGCGTTGTGAATTGGCTTCAATAAAAAAAATGAGAAATTCACTCAAACCATTGATGGAAAGAAAAAAAAACAAGATGGCGGCAATTCGAAATTTTGCTCTAAACCGATTCGAACAATTTACTATTTGATTTGAAAGGCCCAGCCCTACTCTGGGTGGTTGACCATATATATTTCGGCATAAAAACACCTTATGATGGGACATTATTTCACAGACAAAAGCACAAAGTCCAAACCTTTTCGAATAAACTTCAACATTGTCCTTGTGATCCGAGGCTTTGGATCGAACTCTGAAATTAGAAAAAATATTTTTAAATTTAAGAATTCCCAACAAGAGAAGAGCTTGAAAACTGTGTGTCATGGAGCCACATGATACTGCCGAAGTATGTGAACCAAGATTGACCAGGTTGGGGCCATAATTTCAGGTATAAATACTATGAGGAGCATTTGGCTAGTCCCCAAACTTGAAAGAGAACTAAAATAGGAAAAATTGGAATAAAATCATGACTTAACCTTAACTTGGTACACATACTACGTTCCGATGTACGGCATCTTGGTTCACATACTAAGGGAGTACCCTAATATGTAACATAGATTTTTTGGGTTTAATAAATTCAAGCGTTTCAAACAAAAATGTGAATGTTGGAAATTCCTAAAAATATCAAAGAAACATGTTTTATTTAATCTGGTATGTAACCATACAGGGCGGTCCCCAGAAAAAACAAAAAATTGTCAAATAACAAAGAATAACTTTTACAAAGTTTTTTTAAGGCATATGTTATATTACATTCATAGATGCTCAAAATGCCGTCCGTGCACTTCAGTTGTGTAGCGTTGTGAAAGTTAATTTGTGGGATATCGTTCCAATTCAACTTATTCGCATTGTATTCGTGATCTTATCTGACTTTCAAATTTCCCACTTTTGCCCCCTGTGGCTTGAAGCAATATTCACCAAATATTTCATTAAAAAGTTACAGGAGAGGAAAGTCAATTCCTATGACCAAAAAAGCTTCGGTGCTCGAACAGCAATCAAGGACAAATCTTGACCGACTACTGAGGTATCACTGTATTTGTTTCAAGCGAATTGTGGCAAAGGGGCAGTGAAAAAAGAATTTCATCTAAGACATTTTAATATATAATACAATATCAAATTCCTACAATAGTCCAAACCTTTTCGAATAAACTTCAACATCGTCCCCTAGATTCGAGGCTTTGGATCGAACTCTGAAATTAAAAAAAATATTTTAAAATTTGAGACGACACTTTTAGCAACCCCCATCAGTTTGAGATTCAGATATTTTATCTCGTCATGCTAGAATCAATAAAAAGCAAAAAAAGAAACATAGTAAACTAAAAACACAGGAAACATTGATTCATAGCAATCGAGCAGGAGTCATCTATTCAGCGACACCTTGTTGCTGTATTACAGCGTCAAATATAGCAATGAAGCATATAAAAAAAAAAGAATTATCTTCAAAAATACACGAATCATGGAAAAACAACAATAGATTTTAAATAAATCAGAACTGCCAATACGATTCATTCGGAAATTCACCAAATATTTCAATAAAAAGTTAGAGGAGAGGAAAGTCAATTCTTATGACCAGAAATGCTTCGGTGCTCGAACAAATCGGTAGTCGAACAACAATCCAGAACAAATAATGACAGATACAAATGTTATCAAACAATCATGTCTAAATAACTTTTCAGTGTGACCCCTAGTGATTGATCATTTGATCGTATATATTTTTGGCCAGGGGAGTGGGGTTGGAGATGGAAAAAAAAAAGAGAATAAAGGCAATTTTCTGTATCATATATATCATTTTTTTTTAGCTTGAAACACACACTGTCCCTGCTAGCTGTTGAAATTTCAGAACCCACCTTTGAACATTACTGCGGGAACAAAAAAACACGCAAAAGTCCGAACCTTTTTCGAATAAACCTCAACATGATCTACGTAGTCTGTGGCGGCTCCAGGTCGAAATCTAGAAAATAAAAAAAATCATTCAAGAGTTGGAATGACTAATAAGCAAACTGTGTGTCAAGAAGGTGCACTAAGTTGTGTGCTGTAGAGCAGGGCTACTCAACTGGCGGACCACTGTCCGAATCCGGACCTTCTGAGTAGTGGATTCTGCCTAGAGGTAAGATCGGGCCCAAAAATTCCAGCCAGGCCCGTGGGTGCTAAACCCGACCCGAGCCCGACTAATTATCTGGATTTGCTGGCCCGAGCCCCAAGCAAACACAAAATTTCATATTTTATTTGAGAGTTCTTTGAATTGTCATTGCAAGAGTTTAGTACAGTATGTGTCGTGTTGATGACACAACTTCTGTTCTTTGCAGACCACGGTCTCTCGTGGCCATAACACGGCCGAAACGCCTAATTTAAAAAAAAAACGTCAGCGATATAGGAGCTTGACCCGAATGTAATGATTGACATTTCAGGCCCGACCCGGCCCGAATTTTGGGTCGGGCTCGGGCTTCAGATCTTAGCCCTAATTCGGACCGCACCTATTCTTTTTATTGGATCATTGGTCCCACTTTGGAAGTTTCCTTTTATAAAATGACTTTTATTGTTTAAAGGTTATTTTATGATTTCCTGACTACATGTGAAAAGAACTATAACGCCATAATAAACGATCTTGATTAGTGAATAATCATTAGCTGGCTGAGGAACTGCGCCTTTAAAGATGTCGAAATATAATTTTCGGAAAGACCGGACTCCAATAATTTTTAGTTTTGTATATGGATCTAAAATAGTTGAGTCACAGAGTAGCCCTGCTGTAAAGTTCAGTGATTTGAAAAAATTTTACACTCGGGTGTTTCAAGGCAAAGCAGATGATATGATTTTTGAAAAAATATTTACCTGAAATCTGGAAATATCAAAAAGTAATGCCATAACTGTTCAAATAACCCCTCAAATATGTGATGTGAAATAAAGTTTGTCCGGCGCGGAAAGAAATTCTCACTAACGACAGCGATCTCTCTCATACTGCAGTACTGTCATGGCGGGATCATTGCAGTTAGAAAACAAGGGAAATACCTTGCTCGATTTTGGGTAATATGTGCGTCTTTGATGACAGTTAGAATAGTTTATGAGGGCCCTTTTTATGTCACTGTGAGGTAATTTTTGGATGACGCAGTCAGGTTGCAGGTGGGGGTTAGGATTGATGATTGTTATTTTGCCCCCACTACCGGTACTGCACTAGAAGTACGAAACTACACTAGACTGCTAGACCCGCCCGATTTTTGAGAAAAGGAGAATTTTAGTGCCTTTATGGTCCTCAAAATAAGGTATGTGATTATCCACGTACCGGTATCACTATGAAATATTTAAACAATTACCTTAACCCTCTAAATCACTTTGTCTCGCTGTGGGTGTTCAGTTCTGAAAACATCAGCTTTCCAATACGATGTTAACATGTATGAATCACTATTAGGCTATCAATAAACAATGATTTACGGTACCTGCTGTATGAAAAAAAGTAAGTTATAAGAGTGGAGGCTAACTCGCCATTAACGGGTTAGCCTGCAAGTGTGCAAACGCTCTTCTTGTAATGGGAGGTGGAAAGATGGCTGATTATGAATGTTAATAGATAATTAGAGGCTCTGAACCATCCCCAGTGTTCTGTGAGTGAGAACCCTGCCTCTTGCAGTGTAGAAAAACTTTTCTGCATCATACATAGCAATTTTTAACACCATTGTGAATCCAGCGGAAAATATTCTGCAGTTTTCAACCGGTTCCCACGCGGAATGAAACAAATTTTAATAATATTTCTTACGAAGAAACGGGTCCTACGCGGAATTAAAAACTCGAAGTATTAATTTAAGCACATTCGGCTGGTAGTGTTAATTATAAAATACATAAATGTACATCACAAGACGTAAAATCACAAAATAGCATAAGAAAACGTATGCACGAGGATACGAGGACGAATTCGAATATAATTCGCAAAGTGCCAACTACTTATAAGGGCCATTCCAAGCAAAAGTTGAATTCCATCAATTTTTTAAAAAGTGTAGTGAAAGTATTTTTTTTTTATTTTTGATATCAAAAGACATTGGAATTTTATTGGACTGCATTAATTTTATCGAACAATTTTTAAAATTTTACTCAGGTTTGTGATGGTTTATAAAAATTGGCCTGAAATGTAGAAATTTTGTTATAATTGACATATTTTGTGATGATTCCTGACACAAAGTGTTTGATAGTGTGGTACAGATATGTTAGTGCATGGTGGATTTGCCATCCTGTAGTGTCACGCTATATTTTACTATATTTTTTTTATCTACTAAGTAAGTCTTGGGTGTAACTTTTGTGCAATTTTTTACATATTCAATAAAGCAACTGATTGGACAATGAAACAAAACATGTAGCTGAAAATGTGAAAATATATTGCATCCAACAACATGCTAAATTTCTGGAATTGTCTTGTAGTGTCACTTGGAATAGCCCATAACAGTAAATATTAATTGTATAGGTTGTTAGAAGTATTATATATAATATGAAGTAGGAACGAAACGAGTCTTCACGAGGTACCGCACTTCCAATTTTACCCAAAAATTTGATTTTTAAAATTTTTGAATTTTGAATGTGAATGTGGGCTTTCAAAAATTGACCAAAATCAGATCTTGTCAACTGACTTTACACTTGCTACATAAAATCAGTGTGTGTGTTGTATGAAAGTACAATTTTCAACAATTTAAGTCTTTTGCGCCAGAAAATTTAAACAAAACCCTTTATGTGCCTATAGTACTCTCTTTGGGGACTTCACACAAAATCAATTAAAAATGGATAATTTCAGGCAGAATTGTCGAATTTTTGAATTGACTTTGTTGTGTGATTGGCATAATCCTTTGTCCACGTCGATTTTCTCCGCTGATACCTTTGCTATTTTGTCGACGACTTTGTTACCCTGAATGCCGACATGTCCTGGAGCCCATAGTAATGTGATTTTGCATCCTAGTTCCTTTAACTCAAAAAGTCTGAATATATGAAAATAAATTACTAATTTTATCCGAGTTATTATCTTGTGTCACTGACTTGTGTTACGTTAAAATAAATTTTAACCATCACGTGATAACTTCCCAGCAACTCACAATGTCGTTACATCTTTGCGCGACATCAGAAGAGGCTATTGTTAAATCAAATAATGAGTAAGTATTTATTCTATTATGAGATAAATTTATTTTAGTGGGACAAGAGGTTTAGTACTACTAAATCTGTGCTGTCAATAGCTTCAACAAGAGCCATTCCTCGTTGACACATATAAGGATAAACGATATGCCTAATTTTATTCCATCAGATAATGTTCGATTGCTTGCTGAAAATAGCGTTCTATGGCACATTGAGCTTAAAACTGAAGATTTAACGTTTCCTCTCATAACTCATTGGATTGTTTTCAGTCCTGGTGCATCCAATGAAGTTTCCAAATCTCGGTCACTAATCAATCGTTGTATTCTTCGCCCGAAAAATTACCATCAATTACGCATAAACAGAGTAATAATACCAGTCAGGAAGTAAAATACTTTTGCAGTCTATTTCTACTGGACAGGAATGAAGTAATATTATAGACTCGGCTGTGTGGCGCATCGTGTTAAGCGTTAGGAATACGATCGCCACCGCATCTCTGATTACCCTTCGTGGGTTCGCATGTTCGAATCCCATGCGGGGATGATCATGTGCGAGAGGATTGCTGGCCTCCTCGCCGGCGTAGGGTGGTTCACGTAACCGCTGGTCGGTTACGGCTTCCTCCACCATCAAGTCCATGCTTCCGAAAACAAAAACCTGGCTAACTAATCCCATATCTGACCTGGACCAGTAACCGGACGAGAGTGCGTGGTTCACCATATGATTAAGCTGTCTTAGGGCTTTCCTTTCCCCGGGATAAATATGTAAATCCTTCCTTCCTACATTGGAATATATTTTCGTAGTTTCTTAAATTAAAAGAGACATATCGACTATGTTGTACAAAAATGGGTACTCAATACTCATGTAGTATGTGAACCAAGATGGCGGACACTGGTGTTTGGTATGAGTACCAGATAAGGTTTGGCCATATTTTCATGTACAAATACTACGGAATTCACTTGGCTAGTACGCGAACTCGTAATAGGACTAAAATAGGAAAATTGGAATAAAATTATGGCCTGATCATAACTTGGTACACATATGTCCACGTGTCCGCCATCTTTGTTCACATACTTCTGGAGTACCAAAATAAAGCTTAAAAGTAGCAAAGGTATAAGAAATAGCTTTTAAATTAGAATAAATTGTAATAAAACAAATAGTATAATGAACAAATACCAATACAAGAAACATAGCACCAAGGTAATTTCTCAAAAAACAACTGGAAAACTTGCTAAAACGCATTTGACATGCTTTGATTTGTACTATTATCCATTTCATTATTATTCCATCCAATAGATACATTCGTTAAAAATAGAAATGAAACTGAAACCAAACATTAAAAACAAAAATAAATAAAGAAACATAACTCAGACCTTTAATCGCATTATGAGTTATTTAAACATTGATTTTATTTAGGTTTGTTTAAAGCAGCAGTTAATGCAACAATAGCTATAGGCAGTTTATTTATCTGCTGAACCGAGTTTATCAAACATGCAGAGATGAGGAAAAAGAGTTGACCTTTTGCCTTTATTCCCCAGGCCTTCATGTTTACTAAGGTTGAATGGCATAAAGTACACATTAACGATCACGATATTGAGATTTATCGAAGAACGGCATATTTTTTCGGCGCACGAACAAAACGTCTGGGAACCGCTGTATTAGAGTTATGCTATGCAACATTTTACGTGATACCTCGCCCCGAACTCCGTGAGAATTATATAGTTTTGATAACAAGTAAGCTTTCTTTAACAGATATTGGAATGCTTCGTACTGACTTCTATTATCACCATTTGAAATCTAAGACTTTGACTTCTATTATGAAGTCATGATGGAGTTATTATGACGCCATTACTGAAGAGGGGGCTCATGAATGGCATAATTTAAGGCCTTTTATTGCACTAAATCAGGGGAGTTCCAAGGTTTACGGCCTCGCGGGCCACACTATTATTTTGGATGTGTTCGCGGGCCACAATAGTTCCAAGAATAAGTAAACAGTGCAATACAAAAAATCTTACTATATCTACATTTAGTTTGAGATTTCAAACTCTTCATAACGGAGAAAGTGGCATAAGGAGAAAATGCCTTTTCAGATTGTCACCGACACAACTTGCAGACTTATCAAGCGAGCATCGTGGTATTTTCCTTTCCATATCCAGTCAAAAATCTGGATGAATTGGTCTGCTTTTTTTCAAAATCATGCTTACAAAATAGCTTATAAATATCTGCGGATTGATTGAATACCGAATTTTACCGAATTTGAGATACAGGGGGATAATTACTAAATACCCAACCTAGGCTACGATTTTAGTTTTCTATGAAGCCAATTTTGTTATCATATATTCACGACCAAAAAGATATAAAGCCTGCTAACAATTTCTATTAGCCAAGTATATTATTCGATACTCAAGTAGCATGTGAACCAAAATGGCGGACATCGGAACGTAGCATAGTGTGTGTAATTGGTTAGAATTAGTTCATAATTACAAGTACAAATACTACGGGAGTCACTTGGTTAGTCTCCGAACACTTATTAAAACTAAAATAAAGAAAATTGGAATAAAAATATGTGCTAACACTAACCTGGTACACATACTACGTTTCGGTGTTCGCCATCTTGGTTCACATACTATGGGAGCGCCCATTGTTCAACTTTGCTAGTTGCCTCAGCTAGCCATAACACTAGTCAATTAAGAAACATTAGTGATGTAACAATATGTCAAAAGATTTTTTTTCTGGTTATTTTTATGAAAAAACAACACCAAATGCAATTTTTTGTTTACCATCCCGCAATGGCGACGCGGGCCACAGATAATGAAGTGGCCCGCGTGCCTGGGTTTGGACCACCCTGTACTACATGCTGGGATGCAAAAATACGTTTATCAACAAGAGAGCGACGGTTAAATAAATGGACACAAAGTTTGAAACGGAGTAATACGATCCACACATAAAAAAAACTATTCCTTGAGCACAGAGAGAGCCTTCTCGCGAAAAATACAATCTTCATCCAATGAAATATTCAAAGCAATTGGTTTACTCTAGTAGGAAAAGCTGGGAATATTGCTTTAAGAAAACATGAACCATAAACCTACGCTACCATCGGCCAAGGAAAACATGAAGGGGCCTCTGAAAATATATGGAAATATGGCTTCACATGACGCGATATTCACTCATCGCTTAGCAAGGTTACTGGCAGTCACTCAGAAGTAAATGAGACTCATGTCTGAGCTAGAGAAGTACCGATGTATCGGTATCGGCAATATCACCAATTTTTGGGTGTCGGTAGTTTTAAAAAAATAGGTTAGAACAGTGATTCACAAAGTGGACGATATTGCCCCCCGGTGGGCCAAAAAGATACAGAAGGGGGCAGAAAAGACG